AAGGAATTCATATGATCACGATATTTATGGTAGACTAACCTTAGAACCAGACAACCCCGTAAGCTTTTATTATAAATCAGCATAACCTCACAAATAAAAGAACTCCGTAGCCCATAGCCCTATGAGGCAGGGAATGCAGTGAAGAAGATGAAGGAATCCAAATCTATTCACTGCATTTATAATTTTATAGAGTTATGGAGCTAAGAAGTTCTTGGTCTTGGTTCCAAGGTTAGGAGCCATAAATATCACGATCATTTGAATTTTTCCGTTCCCAGATTCATAGGGTTTGGGTTTATTGGCCTTATGAAACTATGACGGTTTTTGATAAAGGTTTTGGGATCTAACAAGATAGTGATTAGATACGAGCCTCCTTATATTGTCACTCGGATTCTGTCTTCTTCTTCTAGTGGTTGGTTCTAATCACAGACTTCTAACTATAATATAGACATAATTATTTACTAATTTTCTATTGACATCTAAGCATATTCTAAGTGCCATCTTCCAACGTTGCCCAGATTTAATCGACCGCAAAACACCAACTTTTGTGTAGTAAATTTTATTAAAATGTTGTAATCCTCTATATCCGCACAATTTCCAGAAATGTAGATACATTATTCCTTCATTATATGACATTACAAGTCAAAATTATTTTGTGGCCTGTCCGCTTTACTCATTTAAACATTTGGCAACATATTCATTCGATTCATTCATATCAATTCATATCTATGCGTGACGTATGAGTTGTAGTGGTAGTGGAAGTGGAGTGTCATTTTTATAGTATAGTACTTATATTTAATTTAAATAACATAAGTCATGGTGCGACATTGTTTGGTGTGTAAAATATATAGCCATAAAACACTGGACTAATAGATTTCTTTTCATAGGTAAGTAATTTTCGATTTGAGGTTGTCAATTTTATTTTATCTTCCGAAATGAATTGCAATAATCGTGTCAAGATCTGAACAAGTATTAACTGAAACTAATAAACGATGAAAGTTACTGACTAAAGCAAGTATAAACTAAGAATTTTTTATTGCTATAGTCCTGTCAATCCTAAAAGACGAAGTCTTTGGATATCAGTCTTGGATTTGAAGAAGGATGCCAATTCCTAAAACTAGTAGAAATATGTATATTCGAATCACATTAAGTAAAATGGCTTTGAATTTCGAGATGCTGGAAGTAAATATTTGAAACAAGGTGTTCCATTACCAGTTCATTATGTATTTCATCCTCTAGAACATAAGGTATCTCTTGTTTTAATCCTTTTTTTTTCACAAAGAAAATAATTTAAAAACAGTATTCGTTATACAATCGACAAATGCTCATCATTGAATATTTACTATGTGTCAGGTGCAAATTATCACTGAAGTTGTTATTATTAATTTATTTTTCTAAACTAGAGATAAAATGAAGAATGGCTTTACCCTAGTAAGATGCCAAAATATGAAAAAACATTAGTCTTGTAATCAATAAAATAATACTAATATTAATGTTTGTAACTAACTGGGAAAAATTGAAATTAAAACCTATAATTTTTCAGTAACATATTTTGTAATCAATATAGTATAAAAACTGTGTAATTATACGAAAAATCTAGGCTTTAACAAGAATGTAAATTCTATTTAACCCCAGACATAAATTGTATGATGCGCCTATGGTTAATTTAAAGTATGTGGAGCATTCTTCGACATTATTATCCCCTCCCTTGATTCCCTTTCCCTTCACCATCAAGTGATGTTGTCAACTAAACTTACGAATATGAATAACGTAGTCTATTTTATATTAGAAGTCCGTGGTTCTAATCAAGCCCTATAGCATCGTGGCCTGATCAGGCCTATTTTGAATTCCACTACTCAGTCCTATTCAGCAAGTAGTTTTGTTCTTTTTACAAAGTCCAAGAGCTTGCTTGCCGACACTTTTCTCAGATCCTTGGGCGCCAGACAGAATTTTTCCAGGAGCGTCATTCTACTACGCGCTAATCCTGGGCATTCGCCAAGGATATGCAGAGAGGTTTCATCTGCTGAGTCACATTCTCGGTCAAAGTAATAGAGTATACATGGAATACATTATTAAGAAGTCTTCAAAATATACATATTTACAAATGCTGACTTGCAAGGTTGAAACAGAAGTCAGAATCTGATTTAGTGGCTGAAAATATGTAAGAATACCATAATCACAGGGCAGACAACTTTTTTTGTGGGCCTGTGTTGCTTGTTAAGGATTGGAATCATTTTTCCAGAATATACTTTTCATACGGTAAATTTTGTAAGGTGCGTTGCGTTCAAATAGTTGCTGGACGGTTATTTATTTCATCAATTTTAAACAGAAACACAGAATGTTACCAATATTCATCAATACAATATTTTTAACAAAGATACGTTACAGCGGCATAAAATAGAACACGTGTAACTTAAAGCTTCTTGGAAAAGTAAAGTAAGTGTATATTTGATGTTTTAAAAACATTTACATCAGTCAGTATTTTCTAAGTTAGTGAAACATTACCCATATTAAAAACGATTAATTAATATACAGGTACAAAAAATCACAGATACACTACTCGATCATTCTGAAAAACCATGCTCGTATGGTTTTCATCGAATTCAACACGACTTCAAATAATCAAATATAAGCATTTTAAGAACTGCATAATAAAGTCTAAATATTCTTCAGGTTACTTAATATACAGTGTGTTTCAAAATTATGGAACAAACTCCATATCTTTTTTCCAGTTCAGATTTTAAAAAATCGTTGAAACGGGTCAATTAGTAAATAGAAATTGTCACTTTTCAGCTATATTTTCTATTTTTTGAGCCATGTTTGACAGACCTATAATATTACCGACATTTTTTAATAGGACGCTCTATATTTTATAGTATAAATAGTCCCTGTAAAGACGAATTCAGTGATATAAGGTTATACCTACTTTTTTGTCATAGTTGTCAAAATAATTTAAAAAATTGTCTCTTTGTAATTTGAAAAACGTACATACTCTTTAGTAATCGTTTTTTACTTAATATAAAGCTTTTTTTCTCAAAAAAAAATGTAATAAATTATTATTTTCATTTAATTCCTCCATTTTTGACAACTATGACAAAAAAGTAGGTATAACCTTAAATCGCTGAATTCGTCTTTTGCAGGACTATCTATTTATACTATAAAATATACAGGGTGTACCTAAAATAGGGTTCCAAACTTCTGCTGCGTTTATAACTCATTAAAATAAGCCAAAAGTTCCTATTAACATGTGCCCTAAAACGCACCCTTAGGAAGTTATATGCCCTTAAAAGGGCTCAAACAAAACTAGTTTTTTTCTGTTATTGACAAAACGGTCGCAAATAAATAGAAAACAATGTATGTGTCTTACATAACTTTTACGTTAAATCACATGGGCTACTCCGTTTTTCGACATGCAAATCATATGCGTCCCATTTAGGTTGTTGAAGGGTGTTTTCGGCCAGTATTTTTTTTATTTCAATTTTTTTACAATTGTCTCTACAGATTTATAAGATCTTAACAATTTTACGTAAAAAATATTATCTTTGTCCAAATCGATATTTCCAATGGTTTTCGAGTAAATTGAGTTTGAAAATTACTCTGCTTTTTAATATTAATATTATATTAGCTATTGTCTGCAATAGTAATTAGTTCTTTCATTACTAAGTGTAACTCTAAATTTAAATAGTCTTAGTCTATGTCCTAAATTATTTATTAAATGATCGGATCCTTCATAACTGCAATTTATTTGAAAAAAAAACAGTTTTGTTTGAGCCCTTTTAAGCGCATATAACTTCCTAAGGGTGCGTTTTAGGGCACATGTTAATAGGAACTTTTTGGCTTATTTTAATGAGTTATAAACGCAGTAGAAGTTTGGAACCCTATTTTAGAAACATCCTGTAGAGCGTCCAATTAAACAAAATGTCGGTAATGTTATAGGTCTGTCAAACATGGCTAAAAAAATGGAAAATAGTGCAGAAAAGTAACAATTTCTGTTTACTAATTGACCTGTTCCGATTTTTTTAAATTTCAACTGGAAAAATAATGAATTTGTTCCATTTTGGTATTGAATAACACTTACATTGCAATAGCGATATAAATTCGGATTAATTCCACGATATACGTGCAAAAATTTGCCTTTTTCAAGTGATTATGAGAAAAAGAATTTATTTGCCCTCTTTGACAAAATATGTATATGAATTTTTTTATTTCATTGTCTGAAGACCTTAGAACTTGTAATGCGTGGTGGTTTGATACGTACCCACTGACAATTTATAAAGCAGTTAACAGTTGACACCAAACTAAAATATAAACGCAGCCACTGATATAATTCTTGATTGATATGTAATGATCAGTAGTGTGATATGTTTAATTACCCTGTAAAAGGATTTGTAAAATTCTGTCAAGTGAGCGTCCAGATAATATATTCATTATTTCTATTATTGCTTACATTGGAACAACTTCTATAACAAAATTATTTACACTGTTTAAAATATACATTCTTAATATTGCCTAAAATATATTGCACTTTATGTAATTTATAAATAAATAATATCACTTGAGACCAAAATACTGATTTAATTCCGCTTTAATACTGGTGCTAATATTGTTCTTTGAATATGTATTGACTAGATATTATGCTCCGACTAGAGTAATTATTTACATAATAATTTCCATGTTCATGTGACTTTTGTATAAAAAATTGTACTATTCTTGTAATTTACAAGATTATTTTTAACAATACAACAATATCCGTTCTATGCGCGCGAACTGTCGAATCCATAAAATGGCAGTATTCGATTCAGCGAAAGGTACAACATAAAATTCGAATATTGTTGTAGAATTGAAAACCTCTAAAGGTACCTTGTGTCGAATATTATTTACAGTGCATTGAGCATAATTAAATTGCTGAGAGGAGCGAAGCGGGAGTTTCAGCAATTTCGTCAGTTCGTCGAAAACTATCCACTTATTCACTAGTTCACAGAAAATCCAAAGTTGACATCTGGTCAGTGTTGCGCCGCAAATTTCATCCGCTTCTGCTTTTGTCGCTGATTACAAAACCAAACGCGAACAACGTTTTTCTTTAAGTCCAACTTTTCGGCGATCGCCGCTATTTTTTCTCCAGACGGCCTGGGTTGCACCGCGAAGTAAGCTTCTAAGCTTCGTTTTTCGGGCGCCGCTATTGACGTCCTTTTTCGTTTCTTCTCGCCGGCGGGTAGAACGCTTGGGGCGTCGGGGTCTCTCCTCTTGTTTTTCGCTTGCGCCTCGGCCTCCTCCAGCCAAGCCTGTAAGATCGGTTTGAGGGCTATCATGTTGTTGTGGGACAACGTTAACGATTCGAATCTGCATATGGTCGACTGGGACAGTGCCCCCACGCCGGGTAGTTTCAAGTTAGCTAGCGCCTTGCCAACGTCGGCTTGCGTCACGCCAAGCTTAATCCTTCTTTGTTTGAAGCGCTCTGCGAAGGCTTCCAGCTCTCGCGGGTCTGTGTCGGCATCCGGGTGAAGTCCGGCGACGGCAGCTGCCGCCGCAGCAGCCGCCATCGCCGGGTGATGGGCTCCTGGATGACCGCCGTGATGACCGGGATGGTGACCTGGGGCACTGTGTCCCGACAGGGGACCACCGTGGTGGTGGTGGTTCATCACGTGATTCATTCCGTAGGAGTGCATGTGGGTAGGTGTTTCGGACATCGGTGTTAGGGTCGTCATTGATGACGATGATATTGGATCTAACATTTCTAAACCATCCATGTGTCCCATCTGCAATAAAATATGTTTTATTAATATTTATAAATGACTATACAGTGTGTACAGATTTGATCCGGAACACCAGTGTAGAATTTCACAGGGTGGGGCGATTTTAATGTCAATTTTTTTCAGAGTAGGGAGTGCATAGACACACGTATGGGACATATTCTAAGGAGATAATGTTATCTCGTGGCATGCTATGATTTTTTTTAATAATGATGGTTTTGGAAAATCGTATTAGGGATTTTTTTATTAGAAATTTGACAACACTGCGTTATTCAGCACCATTTAAAATCCAAATACCCAAAATTTAATTAATTCATATAGTTGCATGTTTTTTTTTAGAGCCTTAAAGTCCCAAAAACTGAAAATCCTTATTTTTGTTTGAAAAATAAAAGGGGCTTTTAGAAATGAGTAAAAACAGTAAAAAAACAATTTAAAAAGGCTGAAATATCATGTTAAGAAAGAAAAAGCAATATGAGTACCGTTACATTTTAAAATTAGGTAATTTCTCTAAATAGTCTGGTTAAAATAGACATTTCAAATAACGAAAATTCCGACAGAGCTAAATTTTGGTAGAGACCCTGCGTACACAATTAGAAATAAGGTGTCAAAAGTCCCCATCGATCCCATGTGTGCTAAAAAAGTTATTCGGTGTCAAAGGTCAAAATTTGAGGTTGTTTTAATTTTTTTCGAAAACGGTAAGTTTTATCAAAAAAGTAGTTCCGACAAAAATTATAGATTTTAAAATTATATACAAAACTGGTCCTTATACTTTTTTTTTTTCTAAGAACCACCATTCCTGAGATATCGCGATTATAAAAGTTGAAGGAGTCACGTTCTACATGATATGCACACATTTCCACACCACTTATGAGGTAGTGTACTTTGGCGCGTTTTTTTAACATGGTTTCCCCGGTAGGCCTACTCCACGAACTGTTATGACGGAATTTTCAGGGACAATACTCTTTTAACTGCATGATGATTATTGATATTGGTTATTGTCTTTAACTGTAGTTCTGATTTCTTTTGATATTTTAATCTGATTCATACTCTTCAAAGTCGACTTCAAGAGTCATGTCTTCTTCGTTTTCTTCTTCTTCTTCTTCCTCTTCTTCTTGCTGGATATTCAAATGAAGATAAATCAGCTGTCTCTTCATCGAAATCACATCATCACACTTCGACTGTTGTATTCAGTCGGACATTTGAGCAAGACTGGCTTTGGCAATTAGTACACGCTGGAGAACACAGTAACCCTACTCTTCTACAGCCACATTTAGCACTACAACCTTTTTTGCAATTACAAAAAATAGTGTTTAGGAATTTTTCCGGAGCAGGTGGGAGTAAAGTTTGAATCGGTTCCAAAGTATTATCTGTTAATTTCCAACCCCAGTCTTCTGAGATCAGTTGATTGCCTAGCCATGTCTGAACTTGGTAGTATACTCAATATAAGTGTTGATTAGCAGAAGCCGATGTTGGAGGAAGACAAGATAGTTGTACTTGTTTCTTGTTTCGTGTATTTTTTACAAAAGTTTTTACAATAGAGTAGCCAGAAGTTATTCAAGGCCATGCGGATAGAGGGGATTGGCTAAGGGACTGAGTTTCTTTTGAGTGTATATACTCAGAATAGTATAGTTTATACATATAAGAGACACAAATAGGCATTTCTACTTGTATTAAGTGCCTGACTATGTATATACGTGGCATATATGTGCATATCATGTCATTCAACATTTAGAATTGCGATATGTCAGGAATGGTGATTTTTAGAAAAAAAAGTAAAAGTACAAGGATAATTTAAATAAGATCTATAATTATTGTCAGGCCTACTTTTTTGTTAAAACTTACCGCTTTCGAAAAAAATCCAAAAAACCTCAAATTTTGACCTTTGAACTTTTTTAGCACACATGGACTTTTGACACTTTATTTCTAATGGTGTACCCAAGGTCTCCACCAAAATTTAGCTCTGTCGGAATTTTCGTTATTTGACCATTATTTTTATGACTAATTTAACTGGACTAAAAGACATAATTTTTACAACTCGGAAAGAAATTTATTTTTTATTGTTTCATCAGGGTTGCTGTGAAAAACAAATAATACTATGAAATGTCAAATCATGACATCTATTAGAACGCTTTAATTACGGCTTTGTTTTGTGAGAAATATTTGCTAGTTAAATAAAAATGGACTTAAGTATTAACGAAAAAGTGCAAATAATTCGACTAACAGGCAGAAATGATCGAAGTTACAGAGAAGTAGATAGAATTTTTAATGCTGAACATCCAAATCGACGAATATCAATTTCTACTGTATCACGAGTAAATCGTATGTTTGATCTCAGTGGTAAATGCAAATTCTAATTTGTAGTATTCTTTGACCAATTCAAATTTTCTTTAGGTAATATTTCATCTACGGTAAAAAGAGGTTCAGGACATCGAGCAAATGAAAAGGGGGACACTATAATTGAATATTTCCGAAATAATCCTACAAATAGTTTAACTGATGCAGTTCGAGATTTACCCAATGTGAGTAAGATGACAGTTTGGAATCAGGTGATGCAGAGAGGAAGTTGGAGTTTTGTCTCTGGGCACAAGGAAACTATTTGCAAGATCCAAATTTTTAAAAAAATATCATTTACACGGACGAAGCTACATTTTCTACTAACGGGATAGTACTCCCTACTCTGAAAAAATTTGACGTTAAAATCGTCCCACCCTGTAGAATTCTACACTGATGTTCCGGATCAAATCTTTACACAGTGTATATGTGTTATGTTTCTTAAATTTAACTTCAGTAATAGGTATAGGCCATCTATCGGAAGAAGTACCTTAAATACTTATGAATTATGAGATTATACAGGGTGTTTCATAATAGTATGTCTTTATTCAGGGGATTGAATCTGCGCATGATTTCAAGTAAAAAAGTTCTTATAAACATATGTCCGTAAATGCTTCATTACCAGGGTATAGGGTGTTAAAGTTTCAAGAATTTGGGGGTACAAATGTCTGCAAGTGACCCATTTTAAGTATTACGTCAAGAGCACCAGCCTGACGCCGGACCGGTCCGACAGTTGCAAGGACAAAGAACACACGCGAGACGCACTAGGGTTCCTCGAAAAGGTCCACGGCGGATTGGCACCAAGGACCAGATACTAATACATGCGGGTGACTCCATAAGAGGACTCTCCAGCGAACGCACACCTCGACAACATTTCTTCTCACTAAAAGTGGTTTTCAATAAAAATCCTTTTATTTTACCGTTGAGAGACAGTTTTATTTTGCTGTACACCGAAAGCAACCCTCAAATGTTTCTGTGTTTTCTTTGTATCTCCCACAGTTTTTAAGATATGTTGCTCAAATTTGAGAAATCCTTTCTATATAAAAAACTAATCAAGATAGTCAGAATCTATTCCCACCGCTAACTTGAGCTCAAAAAAAAAAGAATGGACCACGTGATACATTTGCTGGCAACTGTGCTTTTCATACCTAGCCTCTCCCTAATATTTTTTAGCATTAGCGAACTGGTAGCTTCGGTTTCATAAATAACTCATGAAGTATGTTGTAACAATATTTGCGTTCACGACGCAGACGTAGCATTACACTAAATGCGAAGAATAACAATAGATAAGCATATTCGGTAACACACACATTCTCTGCAGTGCAGAATACCAATGATTCAACGGGTCCCAGTAGCACCATATTTCATCATTAGGCCTCACAATGGTGTAAAGTGGTCATTTGACGTGTAGAACACGGCGAGGGACGTAACGTTTGTCCCAACAGGGGGTAGCTGGCACAGCACCTTCGGGAAATGTTTTGTGAGGCCTGAGGGCTCTACTTGTGCTGTGTTTACTGACTACATCGCTAGCGTTTGTCAAAAGTTATTTACTAGAATAATTTTTTCTTTTTTCAAACAGCAGTATTTGTTTTGCGCTATTTAATACAGTTGATATCTTGGGACTTGCGAAGGGATGTACTAACAACAAATGGAAAAGTTCTCTTTTACTTTTAAACGAAATACCTACCATTTATTATATTAAATTTATCTGTTGTTCGTAATTACTTATTTGTGGCATTTTTAGTTACTCATTTTATTTGATTGGGTATTGTCCACACTGAATAGAAACCATTTTAAATAAATAACCCCTTGAGCTAAAAAGGATCAGTCAAGGTGTTGATTTTACAAATTTAGTTTTGTCTCACACTGAGAAAGTAGATAATAAAGTTGCACGACTACACATTAATCACTGCAACACACAACTTAGGGTCTCGAAAAAATTATATACAGGGTGTTCCTAAATTAGGGAGCAATATTTCTACAGGGAAAAAGATTACTTTTTCTTTATATAAGCGTAGGTCCAAAAATCCTTCCTAAGGAAGTTATAGCCACTTAAAGGGACCACTCTGATGATGGTTATTTTCTAAATAATTTCGTACTTTTCAGTCAAAAGTCAAAAAAGTCATAGCATAAAAAAGTTATGGTAAATTTTACCCCCCTCCCCCCCAGTGTTGGAACGTATGTGATGAAAACTTGTAAATTTCGTTTTAGTAACGGACTGACCACGTAAGAGTTAAGCTAGTTACCAAATTCCATATCTTGTTTCGTAATTATTTAGAAAAAACCAACATCAGAGTGGCTCCTTAAGAATTTTTGGCTCCACGTTTATTATAAAGAAAAAGTAATCTCTTTCGACAGAACACCCTATAGAAATATTGCCCCCTAATTTCGGGACACCCTATACATATAACGAAAAATTATCTGTTTTCATTATCAAAGTTTTCGTATAAAGTCGACATAAAACCACATGTGAAAGTTCGTTTTGTTTTATTTATGCTTCATAGATATTGTCCAAAATTTACCCATGTTTCAAATACCCATCAAAATTCGCAGTTCCCATCAAGTTAATAGGAATCCAACCAAACAAGGTTCAATTCCCCCTAAAAATAGGAACCCACGTAACATAGCGCAAGCCGCTAAAAAATCAAAAATTTCGCAAGTTCGAAGAACGCGTT